CCTTGCAACCACTGAATTGTCATTTCACTAGACTTGTGAGTAGTTCTTACCACTGAAGAGTAGCCTTGAAAGCGTCTTGCTGATAGGTAGAAACAAGCTGGAATGCTATCTTAGCCGTAGTCATCTACAATACTGTTTATTCTAAAACACATTATCCACAGCTGGAATGAGTGTAAGTGAATATAAACAACTAAACTTAATGAGCCCCCACTTTTGTTATTTATTTTGATCTGTTCAATCCAATAAACTTCTCAGTTTTTAATTTTTCTGTGAAGATGCTGTAGATGTTTGTATTTGTGCCAACTTTCCCCCAACACTCAAGACTTCGCTTAGAGCTATGCAGTCATGTTGGGTTTAAACCACACGAGCATTCAGTTAAGCTAAGCAGTGCATTGCAAACAGGAGAGTCAAGTTCTCACACCTTGCTAAGGGCTTTAGGGCTAAATTTGAATAATTGATTTGGGCACCATAAGCAGGTCTGGGCGGATAACTGCTAAAGTCCAGAACTGTGATTCATCCAATAGCCATTGCCTTGTGCGGTAGATACTTGGACTCTATTTGTGCGAATGCCTAGAAGTGCAGGTGCCTTCACAGCAGCACCTTTTGCTCCTACCTCAGCCTGATCCTAACGAGGAGCAAGACTGCCATCAGCCTTCCAGGCACTGCAGGAGGCTGGCAGTCAGTGCAGGGCTGGGGACCCTCATCGTGTGCATCTCTGGCAGACACCTTTTCAAGACAGGGTGGGAAGAGATGCTAGATGGGAATGGGACGGTTGTATCTATTTTTGATATAATGGCCTTGAGTGGAAAACCTGGGCTCTGATCTAGAATCCTGGATTGCTGTCTTATCTTATACAGGCGGTTGTTAGGTGTGAGAGGTTGTTGAGAGGTTGTTAAGAGGTTGCTAGTGGGGAGCAGAACCCACTGCAGGACTTCACACACAGCCACAGGCTTAAGCATTTGCTCAAGGGCCAGGTTCCTTTTTTTCTCTGCACTCTTCCCTACTGATGCTTACAGGGAGAGTGTTAGCTGGAGAAACATCAACAGCTTCCCTGCTTCTCCCTTAGCACAGGGCAGGGAAAGGGAGAGAGCGAGACAGAAGGCTGGAGGTGAGCAGCTGAGGTACCCAGTTGTGCACTCCTTCACAGGGCAGAGGGAAGCGGGGTGAGGGGTGCGGCACAGCAGGTGTCATCTGTTCTCCTCTCCTATTTTGAAAAGGAGGTAGAAATGCAGGGGAGCTGAGGAGCATCTGTTCCCTTGTGCGCAGTGGAAATGGAGCAAGGCTAATGCCAAGTGCTGCTTCTGTTCTCTGTGGTGGTTCTGGTCAGCTCACCCTGACTCGTTCCTAGCAGAGCCCATTCATATTAGTTGGGGAGTCCCAAGCATCGTTCTGCTGTCATTTTTAAGAGTGAAACTTGATCAGCTCTTAGGAAAAAAAAAATTATACGGAGAACCTAACCAGAGAGATACTGGTCCCTGGATCCAGAATTGACAGCAATGCTTGCCTCTGGAGCTCAGCCCCAGAGTGATGGCATTTCAGACACTGGCAGGTAGCTTAGCATTTCTTTCCTAGTGGATGTAGGATTTTGTGTTAGGTTTCCCTCCTCTCCATGTGGGTACGGCGTGCCTGGGAACTTAACAGAGTTCAGGCGTTACCCATGGGACCCATGTTCTTTACTGGTCCTACTCTTTGAGCTCATTTTCCTTGTTAGTTCTGCATGCAAATACGTGCTTCTTGTAGGTAACACATTGGTTATTTTTTTTAGCAGTCTCTTTTAATTTAAAGGCGTATTTTTTGTCAAATTATAATAACCACTGTTGTTGAGGGATCAAAGTATTCATAGCACTGTGTACTTTTACAGAACATTGTCCATCTCCTCTTAGTATTTCGTTTACTTTAAGTGAGTAGAAACATGTGTTGGCTATCGTGTTGCTTTTGATTTGTTCTTCTTAAAGGAGAGAGGTCAGTTACCTAGTTAAACTCAGCAGGGTCTGAGGAACAGACTGGACATTTAAAAGGGAAACCTGAATACAAGCACTCTTGATGAATCAGTCATGTACCAACACTGAAGCTGACTGCTGTGAAAGCATTCCTTTTTTTATCAAAAAGCTACTCCCTGTAGGAGCACTTCACCCCTCTCCTTTGTGCCCTGCTGCTAGGTTATTGAGTCTCTAGCTGAGCCTACTGATAAGCACATACTGCGAAAATGGATAGATCTGTGCATCTTGTATTTGGCCCTGAAAATCCATCTCATGCGTGCTAAAAACTCACTTTTTTCCTGGACCTCAACAGGTGCCAGCTGCTGCATTCACCATTCATTCAATACCCCCCCAGTTATTCACTTTTGGGGCAGCCTTCCAGGGGCTCTGTGGCTGATGGTCCTTCTCTCGGCTTCAGTGGTTGGAAGCTCCAGGGTTGTATTTGCTGGGTAAGGAAGCATTTCTGCTCTTTCAAAACCAAAAAAGGATAAATCTCAGTTCAGCATGACTCCTGTGATAAAAGTGCCACAAATAAGGAGAACATCTAATCATTTGACTGCTTCATCATGAAAACAGTGAGGATGGCCCTTGCTCCTCCAGCAACTGTGGAATACCCCCCTCACGGAGATGCTCAACATGTGTTGTCAAACAGTGAATGGCTGTGCTAGAGTGCAGCCCCGGTTCAGTCCTGGCAAGGAGGCCAAGTCTGGGGTTGTGTCCTTCTGAAGAGTTCCCAAGAAAAGGCTGGAGTGTTGGCTCACATTTCTAAGAGTGGAAGCTGGCGACTAGATGACTTACATCCCTTACATCCCTCTACCCACCTTCCTCTCCTCTCAGCTCTAGCCTAGGTGCTCGCTCTTCACCACAACTGAACGGCTTTTATTTCTCCATCATGTGGCTGTGCAGTAAGAGCATGAACACATACGAGAATTCACAGAATTAAAGATTAGAAGTCTTTAGCAGCCTTATGTACCATCTTCTTTTTTTCTTTTTTAAATGGAAGGTGCCTGGCAAATTTAGCAGCCTTATTAGAGCAAGGTCAGATCCATATCACTTTCACTGAAGTTTTGATTTCGTTCTGTATTACCCTCTTCACTTCTGGAATGGCTCTGTCTTTCAAATTAGCTTATGACTAGCGTAAAAATATATTCTTTCCTTTGTGCTAAAAGACTGCAAGTACAATAGAAATAGTTCCCAAATTTACATTTTAACTCAGTGTTATTTGTTAGAGTGACTGCATCAAAACCTGTCTATTTAATCTTCTTGCTACCTTTATCAAACGACTACCATTTGCAAGGGGAGATTTTTTTCCATATGAAACTGAAGTTCAATCAATAGCTTCAGTGGGTTTAAGGTTATAATAAGTAGATTACTAATAGGCTCGAATATAATCTTTGGCGCCACTGTCATTAGAATGGCCCCAGCCTTTTCAGACTGCTACTAAGTGTTTTGAAGAGCAAGTGTGTGTATACTTAGCCATAGATATGCCCCCTGAGTTCAACTGATCATTAAGGTAAGAAGGAATAACCCTTCCTGCAGCTTGGGGATGACCAATGGCATTCAGGAAGATAGTGGGATACGCGTCTACTTTGACAGGCCAGCCTGCCTTGTGCAAATGCTCTTTATTTACCAACAAAATAGCACAATCCTCATTTGTTCTTCATCCCAAGACAGACACTGTTATGCCAGGCAATAGGCAGAAATCTACTGATACACAGCATCTCTCTTTGGGGTTTCCAAGGCATCTGCTATCTTACCCATATTACCTACTGTATAGCATTTCTCACTCTTAAACACTTCACAAATGAGATCAGTTTCATTATCTCTGGATGGCAAATTAAGGCAAGGGGAGAAGAGGTATTTTGACTCATCCAGGATCAAGTTGAAGACCGTGACCAAGCAGCAGCCAGAATCTAGCGCTGGGTCTACTGGGACCTTTTCCCCTTCAGATGGGCAGCTCTTAGCATCGCCTATGAACCTCGACTCCTGGTCTGGAGCTTGCAAAGGTGATTTCCTAAGAAAAGCCTGCAGTAATTTCCCATTATGCCCCACAATGGACACCCGAGCTACTCCAAAAAAATGGAGAAACCTGGATAAAGCCCATGGGCCCCGCACAGCAATTTGCCTGCTACAAAGCCGGTGTATCTATCATTATGTGCAGACGGTGTGGAGCTTCAGCTGGGAAACCCTGCCAGCCCCTGGCATGCTCAGCCTGGGGCTAGCCCAGGTGGCCCTGGGGTGCAGCTAGCCATCACACAGACAGCCCACGTGCGGGTAAGCGCTTGACCTCAGCCTCTGAGGACGACAGCGACTGCCAGCAGCATCCACCTTCCCAGCTTGCTGGGCTGCCGCATCTCGGACGCCATGGTACGGACAGCCAGGCGGGCAGGAGCCTTTCGTTAGGCAAAGCGGTTTGTTACGACAGGACGTGGCTGCGACAGTGTTCTACGAGCAGTGCCCAGTGAGCACGTGCGCGAGCTCCTCTGCGGTTCTCGTTGCTCCTCTCTCATATCAGATGTAACTTCCATACGTAACTAGTTTGCCATAGTGCTTTACAAGGGCTTTCTAGTGCCCTTTCAGCCAGTTGGTTCCCTAGATCATAGAACGAGCAATTCCTCCTTTGCCGCTCAAGTGTGGTGTTTCACTGACACTGCTGAATATGTCAAAACCCTCCAAGCAATCAGCCGAACACCCACAAAACCTGTGATTTGATGATATCATGCCTTTTCCTCCTTCAATCTACCTTTGCAATTGTTTCTTACAGAAAAGTCTACATTTTTTTTTTAAATCACTTAGCAATCTGGCAAGTACATAATCAGTTATTTTAAGTTTCTTTAAGGACAAACCATTATCTTTAGTCAGCCTAAGACTGGAGTCTGTGTATCCCCTGGTCTGTTATAATATAAGATGATGAACACCCTTCTGTCATCATGAGTGAAATGTGCTTGGTACAACCTGCCTAGATACATAAATGGCCTCAGCCCCTGTAGTGCATGATTCCTCACATCCAAGGAAAGTGGGATGGGACGTTCTTCCCACGGTGCAGGTAGGAACAGCAGAGGAACTGAGAGACAGGCAAGTAAAGTGTCTTAGCCAGAATCACACAAAAAGGTTGTTACAGAACTGAGGTTCAGATACTGGTTTCTCAGATCTCAAGCAAATACCCTGAACAGGGGAGACCTCACAGAATTGGACTCATGGTCTCTATTTCTGAAGACTCTCTTTATTCCATGCTGCTAAAGAAAATGATGGTTGGCACAAGGCTTCATGCCGTGTCTGTCCTTTCTCTGACACTCTGCAGTTTGCTAGACATGATTTGCGTGTGGTTTACCCTAACAAAAACCCTCACTGGGAATATATGTTGACACTGAGTAGTGGTATGTGGGACTGGAAAAAAACAGAATTCAGCCTCAGCCCTGAGTCTCGGGGACTTGAAACAGCTGGACCACAACTGCCATTATCTCACTGCCAGAAACAGAATGCCAGAAACAGAACGCCTTATGAGGAAATGAGAACTGGAACGTGACTGCAAGTACCAAAACAACTCTGGGAGATGCAGCAGTTGCTTGAAAGGGATGGTATGCAAAGGCTCTCTCATTTATAGAAACACTGTTTTCCTCAGAGGAGATGTGATCTGATGGCCTCTGTCTCTTTAACAGCGTTTGGGCTGTCAGTCTAGGGTGGCTGTTTTCTTCCTCTGTGGGGTGGGAGGTGATACAGGAGCAACTCTTCATCTTGAAAGCCCTTTGTAATTATTAATTGTTTTGAGGAGGGCATCAGCATCTGGGAACAGGCAAGTATAAGATGAAACATGGCCATGCAACTAAATTGACTGTGGCCACCCAGATCTGGGTGCAAAGTGAATGGTTCCATGCGGATACTTCAAATTCATAGACTGTCGGAAAAGGTTACTTCTCGAAGTATCAGCTGAGGAAGGGCCCACAGTCATTCTGTTACGGGCATTTGGCTGTAATGAGGCAGTAAATTCTGCTGTGCTTTGCAGTCATATGTGCTGTCAAGGCTTTCTTTAGTCACGTGGTCAACAGAGACATGGGAGAGATTGTCAGCAACTTTGGAGGCTTCTACAGAGAGCTCACCAGTGACAGGCAGCTCTGCCGGGTAAGATGCATTGAGGGTGCTGTTGTGAAAAGGATAGTAACAAACATGTAAGTTGTGCATTTTCACAGAATATTTCCATTTTTATTCTTGGCAATTGGGAACATATCTGGTGCTAAGGCAAGCCAGTGTGAAAGCGACCACTCAGAGAGTTCCAGGTGAGTATTTGATGCAAGTTGCACATTTCAGCATCGACTTCTTTTGTAATTTTTAACCAATATAGATTCCTTCTTTTTTCCAGTATCAGTGACTTTTCCCCTTGCTGTGTTATCAACAGTGCTGTCTTTTAACCTCCGGCGAACAAAATACCATTTAACAGAAACTGAGACATCGGTGTGTATTAAACCACTGTGGATGACACTGGTGGATGTACATTTGTTTGCTCAACAGACTGGACCAGAGAAGGGTGCTGTGCACTTGGCCATCGCTGCTGTCCTGAATGCTCTGTGGGCCAAGCAAGAGGGAAAGGTAATGCTCATGGGATCTCAGTCTAAGAATGCTCATTAATTCAGAGAGATTCCCTGCTCCTGGTTGCCCTCATTTGCACATTTGGTCTTGATTTTGCAGTAATTTATACATATGTTTAGCTTTAAAATATCAAACGAAGTACAGGCATCGCCGAATTCTTGGAAACTGCACATGCTTAATTTTTGCAGGATGGAAAATTGTAGCAACTGCACGGTGCTTAGTGGTGGAATTGGTGAGAACATTTCAGAGTCATTTTTTTGGAGCTCTGGCATTTCTGAAAGAAAAGGTTTTTGCCTAGCCTGGCATATCAGATGTTTCTCTGTATGCCCGTCTTTTAATTTCATCTTTCTTACTTGGAGATTTTAATCTGAGATTTTAATCTTTTAGCCACTTCCCTACTAAGTATGCTGTTGATCTGGGATGCAAATCTTGTATACTTAGCATGTTACTGGATATTAACAATAACCTAATTAGGCATTGATGTGAGCAGCCATAAAGGCCGTGTGGTTAGAAGGGGAAATTACTGAACAAAAGATATTGTCTGCTCAAAAATACTGACAGAGAAAGGGCTGCCAGCCTGAAAGTGCGAGCCTGGGGACTAGCTCTGTGAACCGTAAAAAAAATCCTTGAAAAGTGCAGCTGGCCTCTTTGAAGTGCAGCTGGGGTACCTAGAAACCAGAGACATCCACAGATACCACTGATAAGTGCAGAACAAGGGACTGTAACGGCAATTTATCATCTGAGAAGGTGGAGAACAGTCTGAAAAAATAAAACTGCTCTGAAGGAACACAAAACTTTGTCGTCTATTGGCCGTTACAGGTGAAAAATAGAAATTAACATCATCTATTGGCTGCTCAATGTCCTACTCCCTCTTATGTCTCTGTGATATAAAAAGGACTTCATTTTTATCGAAAATGGAGCCTCTCTCTTTCTGAGAACTTCCTGGTTGAATCCCACACGAACTTTCTGTGAGGTCTTGGGCTCTCCCCTGGGATGCCTGGCTGAAACCAGGCTCTGTGACATGGATCATTTTGGAAGTGGGACTCTGCCTGTTGTCTTATTGGCTAGGTCTGTCCTCCCCTCTTTTGGGGATGGTTGGGTCCCCCTCTGTGATCAGTTTGTTCCCCCCTTTTGGGATCGTTTGACTCCTTCTGAAATCTCATTTGCTTCATATTGATATTGTATATATTTATATAAGTAACCTATCATAAGTATATCTGCTGTTATATTGTTGATAAGTTTGCTTTACTAATGATAACCTGTAATCTATAATAGTATATAGTAATACAGTACTATAGTAATAGTGTATAAGTACTTGGTTGGTACTTATCGGTTGGTACTTATCAATCAGTACAATGCTGATTGATGCTATTATTGATTGACACCATACCATTGATTGATACTATATTATTGATTAGTGATAGTCATTTGTAATAGCTTGATATACATTCATTCACATTCACTTTATTAATCATAGATACGTTTGCTAGTGGTGACTTTTCTGGTATTTGTGGTATAATCTGTAATAAAACAAAGAAATTTAGGGGATAAAGCCTCCATGTCCTTGTGTATTATGGAATCCTACCAACCCACAGTCACAATCTCTACGCACCTGTAGGCCAGGTAACCCCTTTGGGTCATGACAGGCAGAAATTGGCCTTTGCTCTGTGAGGTTAAAACCCTTGGTATGGTAGAGTCCTAGTCCAGAACTAGCACTTCAAACCCCTGCAGGAGGACAAATAATACCTGGTACAATGTTGCTGTGGCCATATCTTGACAGGCACAGTTGGACATGCTTGCTGTTGGCAGTCCTTCTGATTTAAGAGGACAGAAAGAGCAAAAAGCTGTAGCTAGCACTGACTGGAGTCGCTGCTGTGCGCGCTCATGTACCATGTGTCTCAGGACATGCCACCGCACTACCTTGACTGTAGAGCTTGCAGGGGAGAGTTGGCTTGAGTCCCACCGCTTCAGGTCTGCCAGCATCCACTCTTTTCTTCATTTCTGCTCTGCTGGATTGAGCCTTCACCTATCATTGCTTGTGAAGGCAATCAGCAACCTTCAGCTTGCCAAAGTCCAAGAGCATAACACAGCCCTGAAAAGAGGCTCATAAAAAAATTCACAAAGAGACATCTTATATGTCAACAGGGTAGTTTGTATGATGATGATTTCCAGCAAGGGAGGGGGCTGGAGGAAAGGTCACCATGTCAGATATAGCTGGTATGAGGCACTTCTTTTTTTTTTCCTTTTTTAATAATTATCCCACCAATATTCCTTCCATAACAAAACCAGGTTAAGAAGGATGCTCAATCATTAATGATTTTCAGGGGAAAGTGTCAAATGTTCTTGCTTGGGGTCAAGAACCACATTGCTTTGGTGTCAGTAATTAATTTTGTGTGCCAAATGTAAACATGCTTGCACTTCATGACACTTCTTCATAAAGAAAAAAGCATGTGTGTTATCTCTCTTATGGCATCCATGTGGTTCCAGTTATTTAATTTGTTTTGTTTTCTAGTTTCTGTGGAAGTTACTAGCTGACATAGTAAAGAAATCTTGTATTTCCAGTCTAAAGGCAATTGGGCCCTGTTGTTTTTAACTGTACTGGAAGAGTACATGTTTTGTTAGTTGGTGTCCAAACTAAAATGGTCTTACAGCTCATTTCAGACAGAAGCTGTTTCCCTGGTGGTGGGTGTAACTTTCTGCTCAGAGGTGTCCTTCCCTCCCAACATGCCCTCTTCATGTGTCTGCCCTCATGCAGAGATGCAAACTAGCCCCTCTTCTGGGAAGCTGTACAGTTTGTCTTGTCCAGCTCTGGCATCATAGCTGGCAGTGGGAACTGATGTCTACTGCTAATAAGAAGTTGTGTATGTAAAGATTGTGCGTTAATCTCTAGGTCTTTTTCATGATTTGGCCAAGGAGCTACTTTTCTTTAAGTCTGGATCGTTGCGGGTTCGTTTTATTTTTTTTAATTGCTGGGGGCTTTTTCCCAAAAATAACTCCTTACTGAGAACTAAAAACTCAGTAATTGAACTGTATATGCTAGCATTGCCTGCTAGCAAATATTTGTGGCTAGTGTGTTGATCTGTTTGCTGAAGTGCTCAGTCGTTTGGGGGAAATTCTCCTCAGTTTTAAGATCTAAAAGAGTCTGTTCTAAAAGAACCTGTTTTATTTTGTGGGTTTTTTTTTTTTACCTGAGAGCAAGAGGTGTGACAACAGGCTTGCTTCTCTGTGTTAATTTGACAGCTGGAAAGTGTGACTTGGCTTTCCTGTTTAATTTTTCACTCCTGCTTGGACAGAGTTTAAAAGGAAGCTGAAAAGGGCTTATTATGAACTACTCACAGCCATGAAGTGAGGCACACACACATTTGACAGTGCAACGCAGGCTGATGAGGTGGTTGGGGGGGAAGGTTTAGATTATCTGCTGTCTCAACTCCCTGCTTGCTTAAGACACATAGGGAAAAGATTGACAGCCATTCCTCAAGTGATTAGCATTACTTAATCTTTTTTTCATCATACTGTTTTTTATGCTATGCTTTGTTTTATGTCATCCATGAATCCGGATGCCAAACAACCACCATTCTGCATGGATTTCAGATATACTGCTGATGTGCTAACAGATGAAGAAGCTTATGGTAAGTCATCTTTCCTTCAAAGCTAGACTGCCGAACACTCCTTCTTCCTAATCCTTGAGTTGCCTCATCAGTTTTGATGGGAGTAGCTAAGGAGTACACCACCAGCCTGTGAGACTAAGACAGGCTGGAGGAACAACCATAATGATGAAATCTCGAGGGTGAGTAGAAGTTGTTCTTCAGTATAATTTGATATTAATGCTTGTTCCCCTCCAGAAATACTCCAAAATGGCCTGCTTGGGAAAAAGTAAAGGGGTGAGCTTAAACAGATCTGTACCCGATGAAAGCAATTACTCTGCATCTCTCAGAGAACGGCTAGGGGACTATGTTGTTTGCTAGCATCTTCTCATGTGTCCCAGGAGTGCTAAGTCAGCCATTCGGTTTGTGCTACATTGGTGACTTTTTGCCATATAAATCTTTGTGTTGGGTTAGCAAGATTGTGCTGTTCTCTGCTTCTTCCAAGGATTTATCTGATTTGCAGTTCTTTTGCAAAGAAATAGCTAGGGAGAAGAAGGAAGGGCTTATTCAGCAAAATTGATCTATTTGATTAAAATTATGGGTTTCAAGGAGAAAAGAAGTCAAAACACCTCCACTCTTCAGTTTCCTCAAAGGGCAGTCTTTGAGGGACTATTTCACAAAATAATCCTCTATTGGATAAAACGCAGCCTGACTTGACACTATCCTCATCTGCTTCAGAAGAGCAAATGTTGAAGCATGGATATCCGGCTTATACAAGATCCTGTGCCTGCCTGGGCTACTCAGACAGCAGTTAAAACAGGTTTGAATGTTTGGTCTTATAATAGTAAGATCTTAAATGGCATATGAAGTGGGGAAATGCTAACAGATGATGATTAATTCTCACTGTTTGCTTCTAAACACTTAAAAGTTTTGCTGGACACAGTAAAAATGTAACATTGCACTACATACACTTTGGGAGGTAAAAAGCAGGCCCAATGCCATTTAAGTAATTTTCTCAGTAAGGCAGAGTGTTACAGTCCCATCTATGATCAAGGATATACCCAAGGAATATGAGTATTGAGAACAAGGTATTAAGGTAGAAATGGAAGTCTCTTTATGTTGGTATATTGTATATAACAGTGAGTTTGCACGGGTGCAGCTGTGTTGGTTTAAGTAAGGAGCTTATGCACATAGGGATACTCAGGAGAGTGATATGAATTAACCAAAAGTGTGATCATTAAGAGTGTAAATGAAAACACATAAAATCTGTGCTTGGACAGCTATGTTCAGAAGCACAGTGCCCTTAACATGCAGTAACTTCCTAGATAAGAAATGGGGATGTCTCCTTCAGAGACAACATGAACCTCAGAAGTTTTATAATTGCTGGTTTCTTCTAGAACTTCTGGTTGCCTTGGCTGTGGGGGATACTCTGAAACTGTCAGCAGCAGAGGGCCCTTACCTTCCTTTGTAAAGCAGCATCCTTATTGCCAGAGAGAGCTGCAAGTGCTTGGCTTTCTGTGAAATACTGTGAAAGCTTTGGACAGTTTATTGGTGTCAGATTTAGTTAATACAGCTAGGATTTCTCTTCTGGGAAATATACACCTTGGTATATCTAGAAATAGTGTTGCCGAGTCATGGGATCTTCATACCTGGATTAGAAAAAATTATCATATGTTACAGTTGGCTGGGTTGAGGAGTTTGGTTCAGCTGGATGTTATTCATATATCTGATCTCATTTTCTGATGGTTTTCTGCTACCTCCTAGGAAGAAATAAAAAACTTATTCTAAAAATGTGAAAATTAATATTATTCCAGATGCAGTGTGGTAGAGTTATTTGGAGATGTAGAATTGATGTAACTTTGCTTGCAGGTGCGCACATAGGCCTCAAGAGAAGGCTGGACAACGTATAGTAAACACTTGTATTGAGTATTCTTCTTCTGTGCTTTATGCTTTGAGCAGATGGACTAGGCCTAGTCTAACTCTTCCAGGTCTATGATACAGGCAGTGATGACTTTGCTTCTGTATCTCTCTCAGACACTTCCCCCTTTTACTACTGCATAATGCTGCATTGCAGGAAAACAGTAACGGTATGGCAAAGCTGAGGGCTGATCACAAACGAAGATAAACACGTTTCCATTGATTTATGAAAAAAACATTGTTTTATTTTCAGAGTAGGATGAAGCTTACTCACAAGGGAGGAGAAGCAATAAGAAAGTTCTTTCTGTAAGACAGTGATGCTGGAATTGTAAATTCTAGTTTATGGATTACAGTTTGTTGCTGCGTTAATCATTCAGAAGTGATCCATATCTTGTTCCAAAAATGCATCTAGGTTCAAAGTAAAGGTGGGTGCAGATCTGCAGGATGATATCTGCAGATGCAGATTTATACGAGAAATGACTGGCCCGGACAAAATAATGGTGAATATCTCTTTTTGCTACTATACTATGTTATTTTCTATTTAAAACCATTAGATGAAATATCTCTCCTTATATACATTTCTTGACAAATATTTTTTCTTCCTTCTTCAAATCTTAAATAATGATGGCAACAAATGTTGATATATATCAACAAAGAGCAGTATTGGACATGACCAAAGTAGGTGTATTACTAAGAATTTTATCCTGTATGTCTGTGCCAGAACTTCCATTCAAGTCTGCGGGGGAACCCCACTTCTAGACACTTCTAGAGTGTCTTCTAGAAGATTTAAAGTGCCTTTTATATCCAGGGAGGCTTCCAGAGGAAAGCCTGTTAATATTCTTTCACCGCTGTTTAGCCAAAAATAAACTGGAAAAGAAGTTTTTCAAACTAAAATATTTGAATGAAAAGGAATAATTAGATGGAAGTCACACATTTTGATTTGGAAGTGTTACTCTGTTGACTGCTATGGGCTGGTTCTTTGCCCCATGTGTTCCCTGACACCACAGCCGCCAGCCTACTCTCGGTGCTGCAGTCCAGCACAAGGCTTTCATGAGATGCCATATATCACGAAATGCTGAACCAGGAACCCTGTGAATACAGGACGGCAAAGACATGAAGAGCCTGCAGAGGAACTGTGGTGTCATTTTCAGATGTTTCACTTTTTGTAGGGAGAAAAATTCTCCCTTGTGTGGGAGAGAAGTGCTGCCTGAGAAACTCATCTTATTAAAACTAGTGCATTTTTTTGTCAAGAAGCTTTTCTGCTGAAAATTTTAGGCAGCCATGTCCATGTTTTAGCATGCTTTACTCAAGTATGTGCTGCCAAGATATACTCATTCTCACAGAATACTCTGCTCTACTTCCTGCAGCTCCTAATCTGCTTGGTTCAAACCTAGTCTGGATATTGCTATAGTCATTGTAACTCAGGGTAAGTGTGGCCAAAAGCACAATATGGACAGAATGGCAATTCCAGCTTTTCATTTCCCTTCTATTTCCTGAATTTCTACCACTTCATATCAATTTTGCAGCTCTTTTTATGAGAGTTTGACAGAAAAAAGTCAATAGAATCCTTCAGTGTATTTAATTCTTATTTTCCTTATCCCCAGATGCTGAATGCAAACCAACAATGGGAACTAAAGGAAGCAATAGATGGGTCACTAACCAGCTGAGTTTAAATCCTCGTGGGTTAAGGAGCCAGCTTTTCCAGGTGAGGATATGCATGTCCAGATGGGAGATGCAACCATTCCAACAGTTGGAGAGTTAATTTTTTTATTTCATTAATAATACAGTGACTCCAGCCAGTACTGTAGTGTAATGTTGATACTGTTCCTTCACATATTCAGAGTTCAAGTTGAACTAGTTATTCAGAGTACCATTAAATGTATTTGCTACGGGACCTTGACACACATTCTGCACCTGTATTCCCTTAAGTTTAAAGAAATAGTTTGTTTCTAAAAAAAAAAATACGTAAAAGGACTGTAATGCCTGCATGAGGAAGGCAGCCAACATTTAGTATGAAATGTGAATGGACTTTTTTTTAAAATGTGTGATTTCCAGTGAAACTGGAATTTCAGTTCAGAATTTGTGCTCCCAACACACTATACTTAGGAGCACTGTTAAAACCCCAGATGTATAGTGTGTGCATTTCTTTACTGCTCCACACACCCTGCTATATAATTCTTTACATTGCCTGTGCAGCAGAGAAAGCAGAAAAAAATCAATAAAAAGTTTTATAATGTGTGTTACATTTTCTATAAAATGAGTAGAAAACAGTATGCTGAATCAACTGTTATTCCATCCTTTATGCTACTGAGTAACTCCATTGGGAATTAAAAACCAGAAGCAATTCTTGAATGTTTGTTATTTCCTTGCAGGCCTTAGCACCGTTAGGAGTTGGTGTGGCAACCAGAGAACAGGTAAGAATCCGTATACATGTTTTGGGCTTTTCCCTAATTGTTTAATGCAACTACAGCATAACCTTTGGAGTTGGTGCCAAAACTCCTTTACTTTTCTCACTAAAGTTAAATACTACAGCTGAAAATTACATGGTATCTATTTCAGCTATTCCCTGCCAAGGTTGCCTCCCCTCACCTTATCTTCCCACACATGATTTCTGTGAACCACCTGGAAATATCTGATTTTTTAAAATTATTATTATGAGAGTAACTACTAAAATTTCATATTCTCACCGCAGTGAGAAATATAAAACAATGCATCTGTGATCATTATTGCACATATAAAAGGTAGAGAAGCAAGGCACAAAGAGTAAGCCCGTGCTGCTCTGTGGAGCACACTGCAGCTCCATGAGACAACTTGGATAACATCTGTGCAGAACAGTGTAGGCTGGACAACGCCGTCTGTAGAGAGCTGCAGGGCTGCTGAAGCTGATATCCCCTGTAGCCCAAGGATAATTACCACAGCTCCCATTTTGCTCTGTGGGTTTGGTGCTTAAGCGAGTGTTTCGCTCAGCACAGCAGTGCATGTGCAGACATGACCTTGCTGTGGCTATACAGAGTGCTTTTTAGAGTGGAGACGTTCCTGGCTCCTCTTGTATCAACTCTATTTGCGCTGCACTAACTCAACTGTAAAGATCAAAATCCCAGAAAATCATGCTGTTAGCAAGCTGCAGTTCACCCTCTCAGCAGCACCAGGGGCACTGTCAGGGGTGCAGGGAGGGCTGAGGAGCCAGGAGCCGATAGCATAGCTGGCAGGGCAGGTCTGGGGGCAGCAGCCAGGCTCAGCTGAGAAGGTTGCCAGATGAGGTCATGGTGAGGAGACAGCTCTGAGGGCAGGGTCCAGCTCAGTCACCGGGACCAGGGTCAGACACAGCCCAGGGGCTGCCAGCCTGTCCACGGTGATGAAGTCGGGCTCAGGTCGAGCTGGGCTGTCAGCCTGCGGTTCAGGGTCCGGATCAGTGAGGTCCATGGCTTGGCACAGCTTCAGTGCGATGGGAGACGGTCACACCTGGGGGTGGCCCGAGCAGGGACTGGGGGCAGCTCAAGCAGGGACTGGGGGCCATGGCCGGAGCTGAGATGGGTCCCGAGGGCAGGCGTCAGGTGGGGAGGCCTCCGGTGAGGCTGGACAGGGCCAGCAAGGCCACTCCTGCCCTCAGTGCCCTGACGGCAGCTCCCCCCCAGAGGGATGCGTTCTCCCATCCAACAGAGATCTGGGCTCAGATGGGACTTGCTGAAGAGTGATTTAATGGCTGTGGGGTGAAGGGGCCATTTCAGAGGACACAGAGCCAGGGCAGGGACAGGGAAATGGGAAAGGGACATGGCAGGAGGGATTGGAGCCAGGTGGAGGGCTCAGGCAGACCCTGAGTAGCCCCAAAATCTTGGCAGGCTTATGGGGGGGCAAAGGGGGGATTCTCAGATGGCCCCTGAAGAGCACTGAAGCCCCCCTGTGAGGGGTTTACTCAGAAGCTTGGGTTTAGGCAGGGGTCGGTGCTGTGGGAGGGTGAGAGCCCAGAGGCAGGCCAGGTTTGAGGGGAAGGTCAGGCACAGCCCAGGGTGTGTCCGGGCAGAGCCATGGCAGAGCAGGGCCGTGGTCAGGAGGCCAGGCCGGGTGTCGGTCCATGGCCAGACACGTCCACAGCTGTACTGCAGCTGGAAGCAGGTAGACCTGCAACGCAGCCCAGGCAGAAACTAAGGCCCATGGGCAGAGAGTGTGGGCCACAGGTGAGACCGGTCAGGGTGAGGCCTCTCAGTGCCCTCAGTGCCCTGCCTGGCCTTAGGAGGAATTTGGCCAGTATATATGCAGCTATTTTATAAGGTTTAAACCTTTCCTTTCCCCCAAGGAAACTTGTTGCTAGCATTAGTAGTAAGTTGCTGCCATCAGCTATATTTAAATATTTCTCACAAGAAATACTTTTAATGAGTCCAAAGACCAGAACTAATTCCCACATATATCATAAATAGTGAGGTGTCAATAGACAGGCTGGTACCTTTTAGAATACCAGTCTCCAACCTAATGTAACTTGTTTTTTATTGCACCCATCTTCTTGCCAAGTCTTGACACCAAATCTACCGAGCCAAACAATGTGAATTAACAAATTCTCAGTTCTCTGCAGCAATTGGAGACAACAGTGACTGCATTAGCATAGCTTCTCTCCTGCCAGTTTCTCATGCCAAGCCCTGCTATCAACATATTTCATTGTGCTTCTCGCTCTCAGCTGTTGTCTACCAGTAGATAGGACACTTAATTTGGGAAGGGGGTATTTTATAATGAACATCTATTAGGACGGGTTTGAATTACCCATTAGTATAGCCTTGCTTTACAAAGTAAAGGCCAATCTATCTTGAATATTGGCTTTACTTGATGGTTTGTATAACCTTCTTCCTTTCGCCATAACATCTGAGAACGACATAGGCATTTAATGTATTTATCCACAGAGTTCCCCTGCGAATAAGGGGAGTACTATTATCTTTACTACACACACGGGAAATTAATGAGAGGCCTGAACTGACTGAACAACTTAGCCAAGCTCCAGACAGGAAATCTGTAGCACAGCTAGAAATTGAATCCTGACTCTTATCCAAGTGTATCTTGTCTACAAGGCCATCTCTCATCTGGCTGGACTGGCCTCCAGAAGAAGGAATGATTTCCTACAGCAGAATCACTGCTCTATTCACTTCAGCTGTCTCAAAATGGGAATAGCTGCTCATATAGGCAAGCACATCCCAAAGCTGTGGAGTCCTGAGTGTGCTGAAGTGGGGCCAAGACAGTCCAGTCCCCAGTGTACCCCAAGTCCCTGCCTGGGGACACGGTTGGGTGACCAGAAGTGAGTTGGCTCCTAAAGGAGTCTAAATCCTAAAAAGATTTTGAGGCAGCCTGTGAGGCAATTATCTAGCAGAGCTGCCCGATCAGTTTGTGTGATCATTACATACTGGTTTCACTACAAACTTGGCCGCCTTTGTGTAGGTTAAGCCCCTGTCCTTGACCTGGAATGGAAGAGCCATTTTCACTTGGTATTTTCGCTTCACTTTCATTTATGCAGTTCAACATCCACATAAGGGGCAGTAAATTCCAAACTCATTCCAGTACAACTGCGCCTTTTGGCACACAGTGATTTTTTTTCAGTGTACCTCAGTTCCTTCGGTCAGATGTAGTGCTCTTAACATTACAAGTATAAGCTGATTATTTTTAATATTGGCAACGTCCTTGAACTTCAGTTCATCCAAATTCTCATGTGATCCCTCATTCAAATGGAGTAATTAAAAGAATTTGGATTTATTGAGACACACAGGAGGGACACTGTACAAATGTTTTGCTATGAATTGCCAGCAGCTCTTGTAATACGCTAATTTGGGAGACTTCAGGTCTTTTCATTTTTTCCCTTACAATGCCACAACAGAGTGATATTTAAACAGCTTCTACAAGCTAAGGCCTTGAGTTATCTCCAAATTGACAGCTGCAGGCTGGGAAGTGTGAATGAAAACTTGTCTGTGTTGCTGATGGCCAAAAAGTTCCAGACTAAGGCTCTGCAAAATGCAGCAGGA